AACTGTGTCTGCTTGATTGTTATTGTTCGGTGTTTAATCTATTTTTGTCAATTATCTAATTGATGTAATTTTTGATTGGTCAAATTGGTCATGACTATGATATTGCAAAATTGTACCTAATGACTTGCTTATTATTAACAAAATATAAATATATATAAATTGATATCAAGTATAACGATACTTTCCAGCGATTTAGGTCATGTCCTTGTTTAATTTTCAGGATGAAGCAAAAAGACATATCACTTAAACTAAAAGAAATAAAAAAACAACAATAAAGAACAATAAACACAGCATTATATAACAACATTTTTTCTATAGAGCGCAACTACCTGATTCTTTGAAGATCGAAGTGTTAAACATACCCTAGGTGATTTTAAATAGGACAATTACATGGAGGTTGTAAATGTTAAGCGTGATCTCTTGAAATATAGTGCACAAATACATATAAACACAAGTAGAGATTTTGATGCTAAAGCATCAAGTCGCCGGATAGAAATATGATTGTATTATCATAAATAAAAGAAAATATCAGTTTAATGGTTCGAGTATAAAGAAAAGAGGAACAATAAGTTGAGTAATGTTTATTCATAAACACGTTTTCATTTACTTGCCACAATTATATCTTTCTTGCTGAGAGTTTTTTGCAAAAAATTTATCTCATGTTATAATAAAACTTTTATCATTAATAAATAAGCAAGTATTGTTTGGCAATATTTACCTGTGACTCAATAATTTTCGGGAGCTGTTTCGTTTGCTTACATAACTTATTATGATTAATGTTACCGATTCTATTGTAAGTATAATTACATGTATAATCATATCAATTAATATTGCTCGATGGCCTAGTGGTAGTAACCTACATGTAGTAGGCGCAAGCTCGAATCTCGGACAAATCCTGTATGTAGTTTTCATAAATTGATTTTTATTATATCTTTTAACTTTATGAAACATAAGTTGATAAATCGTGTGTTTCATTTCTAGCACTTTTTTATTTCATAATTTTGATAAACGGTCAAGTTTTGCAAAATACAAAAAGTATTATAAAAGAAAACATAAAAAATCACTTTATCGAACCTACAGTCTTCAATTTGAAACTAACTTAAAATCTAACATCTTGTCATCGAGACTTGTAAATCGAACCTACAGTCTTCAATTTGAAACTAACTTAAAATCTAACATCTTGTCATCGAGACTTGTAAATCGAACCTACAGTCTTCAATTTGAAACTAACTTAAAATCTAACATCTTGTCATCGAGGCTTGTAAATCGAACCTACAGTCTTCAATTTGAAACTAACTTAAAATCTAACATCTTGTCATTTGAGGCTTGTAAAGCAAGTGATATGATTATAATTCTATTTGTAATTCTACTTTATACATATACCGTTGAACGTATGGTTTTCTTCAGCATCCGATAATTACCGACAAATTATTACCGATCATCGAATATTTGCAAAGTGACTATGAAAATATATATGCTTAATTATTGCATAAAACAATGCAATTCTATTGTAAAAGTGGTGTCAGCATCTTATGCACTATCGAAAAAATATATTATATAGCTGAAATCAATATTCCTGTCGTTACATACAATAAAGTTTAATTGCCTTTCAGTGCGATAAACTATCAACACAAAGATGGTTTATTAGTTTTCTCTGTGTATCCAATACGATTCCGACACCTACTGTCATACCGAGATTTTTCATACAAAATTACTTTGATTTGCACTTTATCAGCTGCTAACCATTCACATGTTACCTGTATGTCTATCTTATCAGCCATTACTATTAATAGATTTCATACCAATAACATACAACGTGTAGTCACGTGATTCTGGGAGAAACTGTTTATAATAAATAAGATAAAAAATAGATAAGGTCTCATTAGATACAAACAACCAGATAATTTAAAAGTGTCATTTCAAATATCATGCATGATTTATTTATCATAAAATAGCAACGCTTGACACTTTAAAAAGGTAAAAGCATCCCTACATTCAATGACTGGTCCATAGGGATACGTCATTAATTCATTTTATAAATATTGTAATGTTGCTTTTTACGATGTCAGTATTTGAATATTTCATTTCATTTAGCAACATTATTGTATGTTTGAATTTTTGAGATTACTGAAAACAATTGTAGTCTTTAATTGTTCAGTAATTGTTATGTTTTTATTTACAAAAAATAATGCCTTCTCCTACCATAGGTATAATATTAAACTGTTACAAATATAGTCGCCGGTTTCTACCGGCGACTAATTAAAAGTAAGCACTATGATACATTGCAAAACAGGTCCCTGGGCTCTCGTTTAAATTAATGAAATGTATAACTGTGAAAAAAATCACTCACATTATAAATGAAATTAAATTTTAATATATTTTATTTTAGAATTATTACAAAGACAGAAATTGTGTGTGTACCGTATCTTTTGAAATAACAGTGTGTTCCGTACCATTTCAACATAACTTTATGAAAATATGCTAAAACATCACTGCATTCACTCGATACATTGGACATAGTTAATATATCAGATTTAACATGTATTTTTCTATGAAATAGTGTCAAAAAACATATGACTTGCTAGAAATTGCTTGTTATGACAAATGAGTGTGTACCGTTCCCCTCGGCCCAGGCTATGAAAAGAAAACTGTACTCGAATGTTCTCAAAAACCATTCAGGGGTTTTCAGAATTTTGATATACCGTGGATAGCTGATATAATTACGGGTACTCTGCGCCTTATCTGATCAAAATCGGTTGAATAATAAATAAGTTATGAATAAAAAACATACCTGAATCGGGTGAAAAATCGGCGTGTTCCGTACCCGAAAAGTCACGTGGTATGGCCACATTGGATTTGGCGTTATGGAAATGACAAGTCTGTTACGGTAATGACTAAAGTAAAGACAACTTTGTTTTCAGCTTTGCATTTTATTTTTATAACATCACAACTGTGAGAAAAGTGAATAAAAATTTTAAAAGAAATTATTTTAGTTATTTTATTTTTTTCATTTTTTATTTCATTTGATTCAACAATTACTATTCCTACCATACCATTTTACTATTTTAATTCACATCAACGTCATGTACCAATAATTATGACGTTGTTATATATTGTAGAGACCCAGCCGAGTCTTATAAATAGAATAAGTATCGTTCTCAACAATATAAGGATTTTATATGTTGTTTTCTTTTCACTTTGAAAATTATAATGAAGCTGTATGGGGAACGTTCTGCATTTGCTATCAGCAGATTTCGAACTCCGGAACTGAAAACGAAGCTATATTGATAATATTGCGGTTCTACATGAATCGGTGGAAACGCCGAAAGTTTACCAATTATATTTCATTGCATGTGAAATAAACACTTTTATGGTAGTCAATAGTCATGGATTGTTCAACATTTCATTATTATAAATATTGTCATACTATCATAAATTTCAATAGCAAGCCACAAAATAACTATTCAATGTCCATTTCTTCTGTAATGGCATCCCATACAACTTGGTCAATTTGACAATGTCTCTTTGTAACATTTTGTGGCTTACCGTCAAGCAATGTTACAACTTGATTTTTCTGGTACCAGAGTCTGTCTTCAAGTAATGGCCAGAAAAATCTGTTGACCCCTATGCGGTTCATAACCTTTACTTCCAATTCATTATCATCTACATCTAAGATGACGCCTGGATAAGGCAAGCGGTCATACACAACAACGCAGTATCTTCCAATTAAAGATTCATCAACCTCTAATACTTTAACAAGAACTGTGTCCTAAAATATAGTATTTTAAATTTGAGTACAGAAATCAACTCCAATTTCAATTTTAAAAATGCATTGTTTGATTTTAAAACATACTGAGTATACAACGTTGATCCTAAAATGTATGAAATTCCAAAATGACATTCATTATTTGATAAATCTGAATACTATTATTGACAATTTCTACTTTATAAGAAGCAAAGAATGTTTAGCATTAAATATCACGGTACTTTTACTAATTTGCGTAATCTTTGCTAATATTTAAGGATCGTATTGTGCGTTTTATTAAACTCAAGTCATGTAATGTAAACTTCAGAAACGTACATTTGTAACCATTGTAGATGACGTGTCACCATGTTCATCCATCATAATATTGTGTGTGTGTTTGCCTATAAATAAAATTCAGATGCTAAACAAGTTTGACCATGGGGAGTGGGCACTTTCTCCTATACTTTGCAACAATTTATAGATAGATCTAGGTATTCTTCAAGCTGTGTGCAATATTTTGAAAAGCAAATTATCATCTTATGATATCCACAGCTCTTTGCTGGTTAATTCAAACATATTTCAGGAACTTAAATAAATGTTCTTTTAACACTTGAAAGAATAAAAAATGTTGGTGACATCTCACTATGTATACATATTTACCTGCAGACTATCTTTTTCTCCGTGTTTGACAAAGCAAGTCTTGACTGGATTATAGCAATCACACTGACAGTTCCAACGGCAAAAGCAGCTCAGGGGACGGGAGAAGATAGTGTTTGGCTCTGTCACAACAATCTTATAAAAACAAAGTATACAGTGAAATTTTAAAATCTTGAAAATTAATAATAAAGAGTTGATACAGCTTTTAGTAATTTAATCATCTGCATAAACAAAGGCACCTTTTAAGTAAAAACACAAACTTTTTCAAGAAATGTTTATGCACGAAAAAACAGATTCATTAGCGCTATTTCTGCATAAAATGATACATCTGATTAGGGATTTTGCGATTGTCGTTAGAGTATCCATACATACATACTGTTTGTTTTTTGTTTTTGTTGTTTTTTTTTTTTTTTAAATTAATGTTATACTCAATTTTTTTTAATCCATTTGCTATTTTTCAAATAATCCAAACATTTTGTCTCTCGTGTAAGAGAATTAACCAATTGCAGGAAAAATTATAATTAATTTGTACATATAGTAAATCCACTACTGTAGACGGTCTCGATTTTTTCGGAGACCGTCGATAATTTAGTGTAGGCCCTCGTATTTAGTTGTATTCAACCTACTTTGGCGGGGGAACCAGTAGATCTTGCATGTGATTTATTTTGGTAGGAATAAAAAAATGTTTGCAACCACACATCCAGCTATTTCTTCAACGTAAGGATTCATTTTACTTATTTTCTCTGTTAGATATGACATATCTTGTTGCAATGATCGTTTTCAGCTGATTGTTAAAATTGTACACTCAGCTCAAGTGAAATGATTTCGGACAGTATGAAAACAAAAGAAAAGGCGAAAATTATGTTATTTTCGGTATGCCTAAAATACGAAAGTGAGATTTTTGACGAAAGTGAGCGAAAGTGAGCGAAAGTGACTTTTAAAATAGTAATTATAACATTTTAATAGACTTTTAAAACAAACTTGCAGTTTGTAGACGTATATTATTAGAAAATAATTATATTTATTAACAGAAATAATCATAATGATGATGTAATCGCTACTAATTTGCATAATTTCTATACACAAGTTCTTATATCTTCCTTTCGCTCACATTGAAAAATACGAAAGTGACATATAAAATATTAAATATTCTGTTTTAATTGAAATTTTTACTTAAATTACAATTTGTAGATGTATATTATCAGAACTTGATGATACCTATTTTTTAAAATAATCATTATGATGATTTAATCGCTATTTATTTGCATTATTTTTATACACAAGTTCAGATATCTTCCTTCGCTCAGATTGAAAAAAAATACGAAAGTGACTTCAAAATATCAAATATAGCGATTAATTTAAATCTATATAATTATAAAAGATTGTAGACGTATAGTTTTGGAATTTGATAATATCTATTTTTAAAAATTATCATTATGATGATTTAATCGCCATTTATTTGCATAATTTCTATACACAAGTTCAGAAATCTTCCTTTCGCTCACATTGAAAAATACTAAAGTGACATATAAAATATTAAATATACTGGTTAAGTTGATTTTTTACTAAAATTGCTCTAAGTAGACGAATATTATCAGAAATTGATAATATTCATTTTCAAAAATAATCATTATATATGATGATTTAATCGCTATTTATATTTGCATAATTTCTATACACAACTACGTAGATCTTCCTTTCGCTCACATTGAAAAATACGAAAGTGACTTATAAAACATTCAATATACCGTTTATTTTGAATTTATATTAATATAACAGTTTGTAGACGCATAGTTTCAAAAATGAATAAAAAATACTTAAAAATCATTATGAGGTTTTAATATTCATGCATTTTCATCATTTCTATATAGCAAATTCAGAGATCTTACTTTCGCTCACTTTCGTATTTTCAATGTTAGGGATAAAAAATATATATAATAATTATAATATAATTGGCAAAAACATGAATTATACAATTTATGCGTTAGGGCTCCGATTTACAGTTCTCAGTTTCTTACATCGTCTTTTTCGGGCAGTTTTTAATTTTTGATTAACGATGGTGTTACCTAACATTTAATATAATTTGTTTATATATTATATTGTAATTATACTGTTTGATTCAAATCTAACAGTAATGGGTCTTGAATGTGTTTCTCATTATTATAATGTCTCTTGAAATTCTTAAATGGAATGGTCTTATGTAGGTTTTATGTGAATAGTTGTATATATGTTTAAAAATGCATGTATACGAATGAGACAAAATAAAGTATGAATATGTTTACATGCAAACACGTGTTGTCATATCATTTTCGCATCCACTTTAATTGATAGTACACACGACGGTGACCGCATGACGCTTTAGTCCCACTAAAGTATTATTATAATCCAATCATAGGTATGTAACTGATGACACTTGCCCGGTTGTTTATTGAGTGGAAAATTGAATTAACATTTCTTCTGCACCACCATAGATATCTTGCACGGATTAAAGTGGCAGTTATTATGCTCATCCAGGTGTAGATGAGCAATGTACATGTTAATTTGAAAAATAATTTGGAATTTCCCATCATCGTTAAAATAATATTTCACTATGAAAAAAGGAAATAAGTAATCCACGGAATTTTCTATAAATATCGTACTATATATATCGGTAAAGTTCAATCTTTTTATAAGTTAGGATTTTTTTTTTTATATTTTGTGCTAGTCATTTTCATCATCAGTTATATGTCAATCACCATGAAAACATGAATAATAATGAAAATGACTCATTTTTTATTATAAAAAACATTAATATCGTGAATATTGACATTGACTTTCGTCCGATTAAGTCACTTTCGTATTGTTCAATGTGGGCAAAAGAAAGATATCAGAACAGGTATACAGCAATTATGAAATATGGATATTAAATCATCATAATGATTTTTTTTTAAATATATTTTATTCATTTCTGAAAACATGCGTCTTTCAGCGCTATATTTGACATTTTTGAAGTCACTTTCGTATTTTCCAATGTGAGGGCACGGATTTATATTGGTGAGGGAAAGGAAGATCTTTTAACTTGTATAATGCAAATAAAGGGCGGTTAAATCATCATAATGATTATTTTTAAAAATAAATGTAATTGACTTCTGATATTGTACGTCTACAAATTAATTGCAATTTTAGTAATACATTCAATTTAAACAGTATATTTGATATTTTGTAAGTCACTTTCGTATTTTTCAATGCGAGCGAAAGGAATATCTCTGTATATAACTTGTGTGTAGAGATTATGCAAAATAAATGGCGATTTAATCATCATAATGATTATCTTTGAAAGTAAATATTATCATTTTCTGATATTATACGTCCACTTTGTGCAATAATAGTAAAAATAATTTCAATTTAAACGGTATATTTTATAAGTCACTTTCGTATTTTTCAATGTAAGCGAAAGGAAGATATAAGAATTTGTGTATACAGTATATATTATGCAAATAAAAACCGAATAAATCATCATTATGATTATTTTTTATAATAAATATAAGTAATTTCTAATAATTTACGTCTACAAACTGCAATTTTATTGTAAAAGTCAGAATAAGTCAGTCTATTAAAACGTTACAATTAATATTTTAAAAGTCACTTTCGCTCACTTTCGTCAAAAATCTCACTTTCGTATTTTAGGCAAACCCTGTTATTTTCAACAACTGTTCAAGCGGGAGATTTAACTGTTCCGGTGAATCAATTTCTAATAGAAATGTACTTTTTTACAGGTCTGTACATTGATTATTATTTATCAAAGATGTGGTCTGTGGTACTAAAATCGTGTAAAATGTACAATTATCTGATTATATGAGATTAGTTTTTTGGATTCCTGCGCAAATTATCTGTGGAATCCCGTTTTATCAGACAGAAATAAATTATGAACTAAAAACGGTCAATTGAGAGAGTGATATTGTATTTTAATTTTGGGAATGGTCTGGTCTTAATCTAGCTAAAGATTTCAGCGAACAGGTTTTATAGTATTTAGTCTTTTATTTTGACTGTCGCAACGTCAAAATAAAAGCGACATATAAAATTATGGAAGCCAGAACTAGTCTTAATCCAGTCTAAGTGAGAGAAACAAATGCTGTTGACAGAGTCTTGGGAATAGTGCAAAAAGTAATTCTAGTTAAAATTATATACTGTAAGTCCTGTATATTGCTAAGTACTGGTCAGGTACCACCAACAGACACTTTTTAAACATTTTTTCATACAGATATAATGATTTTAAATCTGGAGATCTGAAAATTTGACACAATACAGATATGTTATTCTCCTAACTAACAGACTAGTTTGTTTAAAATTTATTTCTGATTATGTTGACATTTATATAGATCTGTAGCCTGTGAAGGAGGGTATTAAATTTACCTAAATTGTCCACACATCAGTACCTTGTGTACGGACAGATATGTCCATGATGCTGATTTAATTCAATAAATGCTTTGGTCTTTTAAGTTTTTTATTTTTAACATTATATAAAATATCTCAGCAGCAAATGCTGAAGTTTTGGATATTCTGTTATTCACCCTGCAAATGATTATAGATAGCATAAAAAGTCAGATATTGCACTCTTTACATGCAAATTTTCAATGTCAACATTCTTGAAAAGGACATTAAAATATTACCGTTTACGAAAATTGAAATAAATTTACTAACTTAATTAATTATAGAACAAACATGCAGTTATTGTTGATATAAAAGCGACTGAACCACTGAACAATTAATAAAAACCTAAATGATTTAAAGAGGTCTCTAACAAGTACAGTACTCGGTATATATTTTTTCTAGAATTACCTTTCACACTATCCCAAAAATGTGGCGAGACCGGGAGTGTGATTCGTTGTGAGTTGTTTGTTTTTGTTTAAATTTTATTTTACTTAATATTTGTTGTTTTATTTATCATTACATTACAGGTGACAAAGTTCTATTTTTGTTTCTTTTGAATATTTCTGTTATAAAATGCCCATTAACATGGCGCTTTAATTAGTCCTATAAATATGACGTTGATTTGAGATGTTCTTATTTCATGACAAACCAATGTCTTATCATAATGACTCATACACCCATAGCACTTCAACTGGATGATAAAACATGTCAGCGTATAAATACATTACTTTTGACCTTTTTATATACTAAGTAAAACACAAATACCTTTTAACAAAATAATTAAACTGTTCCATATGAAAAATCATGCTTAAATCGTAATTTAATTCCTTTAAATACAACCAATATTGTTTATTATTTAATAAGCCAACACAGTAAAGTTGGGCAAGCCTAGTTTTTCCCTGTGAGTCTCGGATTACATAAAATGAATTTCTAAATTTTGATCAAGTATATTTTGGGACTACATTACTCAAAATAACAATATAATGTCTCAAGTTTGATATATATACATTTGGAAATTATTTGGCTTGAATTGGAGGGAAAATGTCTGTATTTTGTATTGAAAAGGATCCTTTTACAGGCCCAAACAAAGAAGGAAAACAATCTCTGTAAGACTATAACTGATAAATTAAGTTCACTTTAACTCTGGTTCATGTGTATAACCAATATATTTCAAATATTTCTTCATGTGTAGTAAGTTATGCAGGGTTTTCATTATTAACTGTTTGGTAATCCAAACCATCGGTTAAAATGCTGTTAAGATTGGATGTAATTTCAGGCTGTATATTAAAGTATCAGTAATCACCCTTGACCATTTGCAAAATCAGTTGTTTTCATTGGAGCATCTGTTGCCTCAGATAAAAATGAAAACCCTGGTTATGTGTCCATTGAACCAGTGATTTTTTTGGTTGATTTTGACCCCGAAATAAGGCCTCTTCACAATGTAGAAAACACATAAAAAATTCACAAAAATGTGTAAAAAATTCATAATTGGCAGGATTGCTTTTCAGTACCAAATAAAATAATGAACTGACAAATCACAATCTTGAGAATTTGATTGATATATTTGAGGGAATAAAAAGAAGAAAGCTGAAACTATGAATATAAATTATTTAAATGTATGAATAAAGTGACTACAGGTGAGGATTTATTCTTGTTTATTTTTTCACAATTTGACAGATTACTGCGCTAAAAAATTACCCTTCAAAAATCTTTACTGTTGACATTTTATGTAAATATGACACAAACTTGTAAAGTTGTTTTTTTCCCCTTTGAAGTAAAATGATACTAATGTGTAAACATAAACAAAGATAAAGGTGGTTGCAGTTAGGTTGAGATGGTAAATATGGTATATACTGTACATTATACAATTCTCTTACAGATTTGTGAAATACAATAGTCACTGGAAAAAAAATCTTGTGTAATAAAAAAGGTGTAAACAAGATACTTTGTCATTTGAGATTTTTGTCAAGAGATTAAATCATTTCAGTATTTAATGTTGCAAAGATAGCTTGATAAAATAATTATGTGTAGGCGGAAGCATATATAGCATATTTAAATTGTTGAAATGCTTAAGACAACCTACGTTGCAAATTGCGCAATATATTTGAACAAATGCCAACTTTTAGGTGCACAATTTTGATTATACATGTACATTATTGAGTTGTGACTTTTACATGATGTTTTTAGAATAAATGTTAATTAAATTATCATTTTTCTAAGTAACTTTCTTCTACAAAAGGGGGTACCTGGGGTCTTCCTCCACTAATTAAGCAGAAAAGGTCATGTTATTAGCTTAAAACTTTATAGAATCAATTTGACTTAAAATCCATTAACCACAAAAAAAAAGGAATAGCTTACCTTTTTCAGCCCTTGTACATGGATTGTATTTTCAGAAATGTGAAAAGATTTAGGGCACTTTTGTGTTGTAATATTAGCCAATTTGCTTAATAGATGATAATATAGAACTTCTTCTACATGTACACTGTAGTGGAAGGGGCCCAACCGCCCTTGGCTTAGGGTCTGAGAAAAAAATAATGGAAAGATGGGAAATATAAAATGAAATGTACATGGAAATTTATGGATTTATCCTGAAAAAGATTTTTAAAGAAAATTTTTTAGTGTGAAGGCAACTGCAATAACAGTAAATTGCTTCTAGGGCTATACAAGATAAAAAGCCATGTAATGTTATGTGTTTAGAAGATTAACTTGGGTTCTCGACATCCCAGGGAATGTGGACTCTTGACATCCAAGGGAACGTGGGTTCTTGATATATCATAGAATGCAGTGGGTTTTTTCTCCTGTATTTTACAGCTGAATAAAGGCTGTTTCCCCTAGCCCAAAATAGGTCTATTTTCCCCTAAAAATGCTGCTATTTTCCCCCTACAATGCCCTGTGCACATTCTTCACTAAAACCATGACTTAATAAGCAGCTGACATATCAACTGAAAGACTGTCCCTATAGATAGCCTCTGCTATGTACTATGCATGTTAAATTGAATTGAAATTTTAAAAAATGTGTGGGTAAATTCCATTTTCAGTTGTTAAAATTTGATTTCCCCTTTTCTGATTTATCACGCTATATTTTCCCCTTCAGAAAGCCATAGGTTAAAAAAAATCACTGGAATGTGGGTTCTCGACATCCCAGGAAATGTGAGTTTGTACCCTACTTTGTTTAAACCAAGATATATGACAAAAGTACTGGTTAGTTTCAGGAAGTATATTTATGTGGTTCGAATAAGTGTCAAACAGAATCAAGGTTTAAAACTAAACCATGGTAAGTTAAAATACAGTTAAAAGAAGTGCGCTACAAAAAGTGAAACACTGGCCTGATCTCAAAAATAATTTTCTGGCTCAATAACAAAGAGTACTGGTATAATTTCATAAACATTTGAAGCAGGAAATATTTGAATCACAATATTTGGTAAGAGTTACTCCATTTGAAAGTATTGTAATTGTTTGTGTTGTTAAACACAAATATTTCCTTAAATATATTGAGAGGTTGGTTATGATTATATAACAGCACTATTAAAACAAATGTTCTTGAAATTAAATATACAACAAGGTCACCCTGCAAACTTAAATAGAATTATGACAGTCTACTTGTATTTTAGATCATGTTTTTATAAACAATCAGTACATTACAGAAATATTGATCAAAGTAAACTTGCAAGTGAGATAAGAGATTTAACTGATCAGTAAGTATCATTATGAAGTACGAGTACCGTATTTTCTCTAATGGGGGCCCTATATTTACTATTATATGTTATTTTGGTTTTGGAGTGATATATGTGGATATATTACCTGTCAAAATTTTATATCACCGAGCCGTTAGGCGAGGGTGATATTTTATCTTGGCAAGTAATATATCCACATATATCACTCCAAAACCAAAATAATAATTTTATTACCCTTGCCCTGCCGAGTTAAGACGTTTTTAAAATAAATCATTGCTACTTCAAATGAAACGTTGAAATAAGATTCCTTTTAGGGTACCCCTTCACCACTACATGACATCACATAAATACATGACGTATTTTCTTTCGAACCTAACGAATGTAAACAAGAGAAAAGGAGTAGTCTGTTGAACGCACTTTTTGGAATTAATATCAAGCTTTCACAAGGTCATATTAATTTTGTTTTCAATACTCATGAGAATATGTATGATTACTATATTTATATCATTTGACAGTTAAAAAGTGCTTGTATATCTGAATTGACATCGCATAAAATCAAACCTTACGCGCATCGCCACAGCGCATGTTGTTTAGAACGGGGAAATTTAGTGTGTATAATTACCTGTCTGGCTCGGTAATATCAATTTCTTTTGGGTGATCAATATCCAATCAAAAAGGCAGAAAAAAATCTGGAAGGGTAATAAATATATATATACATGTAATATATTTTCCAGAACTGGTGTAAGTTAAGCTGTTAAAATAGCATTTGATATTGTCAAAATGGAAAAAAGCACCTATCAATTATTAACTTGTTTGCTGTTTCTTTGGCTGGATATAAATGGAAGCACCATGAAGATGTATTAAGATTTGTGCTTGTTTTGTTAAATACATAGTAAACTGCTCTTGTGTGTGGGTAGAGGGGGTGGGGTATCAGAGAAATATACAGTAATTCAGAAGATAACAATACCTCTGTCACTGCATAAATAAATGATTATAGGGGGGAAGTGAAGGTGGGGGGCAATCCTGAGATCAGTTATAACACTTAAAAAATGGTAAACCCTTAAAGGATTTTCTTTAAACTTGGCCCATAAGATAACCTCAATGTCACCCTTGAAGTTCTAATGCAGTTGGGGTCTTTTTGTAGATTAATTTTAGGCCGAAATTGAGCCCCATAAGCATATACATGACTACATGTATTATATTTTCCTCCAATTTTAGAACAGATTTTTCCTTAGATTGTTTAAGGAAAAAAACAACAAACAATCCTCAAATGTTTTGGAGTAAACTGATGAGAGCATTATTGATTATTGGGTTATCTTAAGTTTAATTATTTTGAAATTGCATTGATTTATAGTAAAGATTGTGTCCCCAAAGTGCTGATGTTGGCACATTTTCCTCCGCCTGATGCCATTTGGGGGAAGGTGACGGGGTGGGCCATCTTTCCCCAAAATGTTAAAAAAGTCATTGTATAAATGTCACACAATTTCAAATACTTATTTTAAAACAATATTAAACTCAATAGCTGAAATGTTCACCCTCAAAGATAATGTTTAAAAGACCTACAAGTATGTGTTCTTAAAAGACCTACAAGTATGTGTTCTTAAAAGACCTACAAGTATGTGTTCTTAAAAGACCTACAAGTATGTGTTCTTAAAAGACCTAACAGTATGTGTTCTTAAAAGACCTAACAGTATGTGTTCTTAAAAGACCTACCGGTACGTGCTCTTAAAAGACTTACCAGTATGTATTCTAAAAAGACCTACTGGTATATCTACTTAAAAGACCTACCGGTACGTGCTCTTAAAAGAGATACCAGTATGTATTCTAAAAAGACCTGGTATATCTACTTAAAAGACCTACCGGTAGTTGTATGTATACATAAAATCAAATGTCATAAGAGACTGACAGTTGAAGGTTTTCATCTCTCCTGTGTTATTTGTAGTTAATATAACACTTTACTTTAATGAAATAGTATGTAAGTAATAGAAAGTGCATCGAAACACGTGGCTATCTGATTTGTACGAGGGGGCATAGCCCTCGAGTATTAATCTGATTGTCAAGTGTTTTGATGTTCTTTCTCTTTTGTATCATCGTCAAAAATAAAAACATGTTCCCTGATGTCATAATATGAAACCCCAGGAAAAGGTTACCAATGAACGAGCATTTGAATATGATAATTCTATCGCTATCCCTTTCTCTGTCATCACAACATGTAAACCCCAGACAAAATGAATAAATCAATGCTCTTGAGTGTGGGTAACTAATACCTGCACTCCAGTTAACATACTGTGCATGTATATGTATACGATTTAACTCTGTCACATTTTCAACATAAAGGTCCCCAAACAATGATACAATGTACATATGTATATAATGGCATCTTACAGTTAAAAGATAATTGAATTTGGTGAATCTGCAGTGTCATATGGACACATTTCTAGTTTTATTTAAGTTTCTGCCTTTCCTTTCCAGTGTGCTGCTGTTTTTGGTGGGGTATGTGTTGGCAGAATGTCCACCATACCAGGTGCCACACACTGTGGATGCCAGGACCATCTGTTGCCAACCAGTCTTCAACTGCCCTATCGGTATGTTATTTGTTTATGGCCCTCTCAACATGTTAAAAACATTGCATAGACTTGGGGCATTGCAGATGCTATCACCAGGGGCCAAAATAAGGACCCATTCAATTACAAAAAGAAAATCCTCGTCAGCTGTCCAAAAATATCATCATGTTACTACTTCTGAGAAAAATTAAACTGTTTTCACAGTGTCTATTTCTCTAGTCTAGGATTTGAAAATTGGGGGGGGGGGTATTCTAGGATTTGAAAATGGGGGGGGGTATTCTAGGATTTGAAAATGGGGGGGGGGGGATTTTATCGAAAGTGAGAATTTATTAGCTCACCTGTCACAAAGGGTGAGCTTTTGTGATTGCTTTTTGTCCCGCGTCTGTCCATCCGTCGTCCGTAAACTTTTACTTTAAATGACATCTCCTCATAAACCGCTTAGTCAATTTCATCCAAACTTCACAGGAATGTTCCTTTGGTGGTCACCTTTAAAAATTGTTCAAAGAATTTAATTCCATGCAGAACTCTGGTTGCCATGGCAACCGATAGAAAAAACTTAAAATATCTTCTTTTAAAAAACCCAAAGAGGTAGAGCTTAGATATTTGGCATGAAACATCTTCTAGTGAGTGTTTATCAAGTTTGTTCAAATAAAACCCTGGGGTCAAAATTGGCCCCGCCCCGGGGGTCATTGTTTTTCCCTATATGCATATAGTAAAAACTTTAAAAATCTTCTTTTAAAGAACCTTACCCAAATAGCTAGAGTTAAGATATTTAGCATGAAACATCTTAAAATAGGTGTCTACCAAGTTTGTTCAAATAAAAGCCCTGGGGGCAAAACTGGCCCTGCCCTAGGGGTGTCATTGCTTTGAACTATATGTCTATAACTCAACAAGCTAGACCTTCTAAGATGTTTAGCATGAAACATCTTGTAATGGGTGTCTACCAAGTTTGTTCAAATAAAAGCCCTTGGGTTTAAACTGGCCCCACTCTGGGGGCCTATATACAGGTGAGCGACTTCAGGGCCATCATGGCCCTCTTGTTACATTTGTAGAATTTTTTTCCTTCTTTCTCTATGTAAAAAATTTTCCCCTGTCAAAGACAGGCTGTCTCTGCTAAAATAGGAAAATAGGGGGGGGGGAATTCTAAAAAATTGGAGTTCATCCTCCTCCTAGAATAGACACTGTTTAATAGAAGTGACAGATTATATGATTATACAAATGCTAAAAAAACTTACAAGTCATGTGTATTGTAGTTTTTCAAATTTCTTGAATTTCCCAAAATGTGAAATAATCTTTGGCGGCCTTTTTACAAAAAAAGATTGTAAAGGGGCTTTGTCACCTTCTAATCCAGACCATATCATTCATTATTTTTATGAACATTTTTACAAAATTTTTAAGGCTGGGAACAAATAAGGAATTTGATGTTCGAATATTCATTTTTACAACATAAGTTCCAATATTTCTCTTTGACGTATGTGTATCCGAAATTGATTGCGTCCAATACTATACTACTTTAATATGTTTGGAAAAATTGACGATTAAAATACCTTTATTACTATATTTTATATTTTGTAAATCGACATATATGTTAACTTTTTAAATAATTTTATAATTTGATTGCCTTTTGTTCAGTTAATCCGACTGCTGATCATTTGTCTTATTAACAGGAGTAACTTACGTGACTTGATTGTCCACTGTAGCCTCTTAGCCCCAGTAACACATAATTATATTGAAACTTATCTTGTATTAAATATTTTTTTATTTATTTATAATTTTAGATAAGGTTTAAAATATTCTTCAGATAAATTTAGCTATAATGCAGTAAATATTATACGGAGTCTAATTTCTACGGAATAAATATATTCTGACGGTATATAGACACTTCCCATGCTTTATAACACAGCGAAGTAATGTGTGCCGATTTATTCGTCTTCACAAAATTTAAGACAATAATTGATTTAATGGAAAGATCATTGCACAGAATACAATAAATAAGATAATTAAAATCAGAACGAATTGGATTATAAACTGTTAAACGGGTAAATTGCAGGTGTTTTTTGATCAACTAGACCCCAAAGTTTTCACAGTTAATTGGCGATTATCGTTGACACGCGTCATACAAACGTGTGAACACCTGGTCAAGTACAGGTTAATGATTTAATTTACGACTTAATTGAAATTTTAAAATAATGACCAAAAAAATTTTTTTTTCGAATATTTGTATTCGTTTTTCAATGTTCGAATATTCAGTAGTGTTTCGAATATAATTCCCGGCCCTAAAATTTTTCCAAATGTGAGGTGATTTTGAACACACAATGTGATCAGACTGTGAGTATCACAGTATGTTGCTATGTTCCAGCAAGTCTGAGTCTGCGCTGATGGCATTAACGAATCACTTGGCACCAACTTACTATTTAATAGGTGTATTACTCCTCATTTCATATTTACCTTGGTTTATTTAATAGGTTAAATAAAGCATAGGCACAGTTTTCAAGTTTTAACAAATTGTGTCTCAAATCTGGTCTCAATATCTTTTAGAATGCCCATAATTGTGTGCTTTTTTACTGAAATGAATACAAAGAGTCAGTGTCTAGGATATAGGTCAAGTTCCATTAGATATTGTAGTCTTTGAATAAAATAATATTTTGCTCAGCTGAGGCTCGCATAATATAATTTTATTTATCTCATTTAATAACTTCAGTATTGAAGCTACATTCATGTAATATCCTCTATATATTGTATATATCCCTTGTCATTGTATAAGATATTGTGTGAAACAATATTATATCTATTGTTTATCCTTACACAGACCACGAGGTAACTTTCTGTTCGGAAGATGGTGGAATAGACACATGCACTCCTTGTGTTGGTGGTGCTGTGAACAAATTTAATACGTCATCACTTGATGAAGAAGCTCGTGTCTGTTTTACCAAGACACAGTCACATGAAGACTGCCCTATACGTAAGTTAAAAGTGTTAAAAAATTGAATATATATATTTGCATCTTAGCCGGATTATATATATAGCAAATGTTTAGATAAACATAATGACCCAAACTGTTACAGTTTAATATAATACTTGTACTTATTTTTCTTCCCAAATTTCCAAAATAATTGGGGTGAGGGAAAACATTTATATAAATGGCTTTTTGCTATATCTATTTAAGCATTGAGTTTAATTGTAGATTGTGTATCAAAGCTTAAAATGAAATTAAATTTGTTTCCCCTTCCCTACCTACCCAACAAATTTGCCCCTGCCCAAAAGATTTTTTCATGCTCTTAGGGGATGAACGTATTTTTTTTCCTTCAGGTACCTTCTTATCTGATATTTTAAAACAGCTAGCATAGTTAATTAATTGTTGCATATGTCAGTTGTGAATATGGTTATGCATACATATACTTGCACTTAATAAATAAATTTTGATAGTTCATTATACATATATGCATATTATTTATTATCATGCACATATAAAAAAATTAATTTTCTTAACTACCCAACCCTAATTTTATTGGGTCGGGAAGGGGAAACATATATAAATTTATTTTTGGCCCAATCAAATGTGAACAGTGAACTATTTTGTTTGTCAGTTTTATCTTTCTTGACATTTATATGAGCAAAAGGGCTTTGCCAACCTGGTAAGATAATATTAAGGACAGGAACCTATAAATGAGCCGCGTCATGACAAAACCAACATAATGCGTTTGCGACCAGCATGGATCCAGACCAGCCTCGCATCCGCGCAATCTGATCAGGATCCATGCTGTTCGCTATCAGTTTCTCTAATTGTTATAGGGTTTGAGATGCGCAGGCTGGTCTGGATCCATGCTGGTCGCAAACACATTATGTTGGTTTTGTCGTGACAGGGCTCAAATCTATAGTTGTCTTATCATATTGATAACCTAAGGAGATAACTTCTTTATAAATTGCTTTATTTTGTTTTCATTTCTTATACCGAATAAAAAAGGTCAAGAAGCCCTTAAACAGGTATTATAGAGAGATCAACACTTAAGGAGGATGATGCAAGATTTTTGGGAAAACTTATAAAATTGTTTTAATCAGCCAGACTTCTTTTTGAAACAAAAAAATAGATGTATTGTTACAGTCATGATGCTGTTGTTGTTGCCGATGCCATTGCCAGCCACAAACTTGTACCTTGATAATAACTTTCTAAGGTCTTTGTTTATTGTCTTCATACTTGGCCATAACAACCCTTTGGACAATACCTTTTAGTAGACCTGGCAAACCTTGACCTTCATTCATAAATGACCTTGATGTTCAAGGTCAAATGTCTAAATTTTGCTTTTTATTTTGCTATTAGTGGCTATAACTTTGTTATTTTTGAATGGATTGTCGTCTAACTTGAACATAATAATCTTTTATGTTGTAAATATGCCCCAGCCATTTAGGTTTATGGGGATTCATGTAGAATTTCCTTTCTCCTGCTGTACGTCAGTACACAGTTGAATGTGGGGGCACCTATTTCTTATGGACACATTTCTAGTGATAAATACAGTTAAACTTCGTTCGCTCGAACTCGGATCGCTCAAATACCTCCCTTGGATCAAACTCATCGCCCAGTAAGACAATAAAAAGAAAGTAACTCCTGAAATAAGTGTAATGTGCAAAAGTTAGAAAATAAATGACGTTAACGTTTACCCGGACGGCTTTAATTACAACTATGGTTCATGTAACGGTGATATCTATTTATAGAATGATACTTCTTTAGTAAATGACTAAAATAAATGCAGTTGTCAAATGCTTATTTTTTATTTTATTTTTTTTTGAATATTTTATTAATTCTTTGTTTAAAATAGAATTAATCGGGGATTCTCATAATAAACATATAAATATATTTTGAACATTGCTCAACAAGTTTCAACAATGACTGCCCAACCAAACTCAACCAACTTCAATATGCATGAATATAAGTGTACTGTTAATACTTAATTGGGAACACTTGGATAATAATACTTAATATGACGTATTCGACGAACAGATGTCATAACAACAATTATATTGATGTATTTATCATTCGATCGATGTAAGCTGGAAAACCTTTAGACTTATGTTCAATGTTATAAAAGTTCAACCACGGTTGGCTCGAACTACCGATCTCTTGAGCAAATTTGCACAGGCTCTCAGAGTTCGAGCGAACTAAGTTCGACTGTATCTTGAAAAAAGTCATCCCGACAATGCAAGCATTAAAAACAGCAAAATTGCATGAAAATTGCAGACTTGGATTGATTGAGTCTGTACATGAGGGATAATGAAAAAATGCAACATACCTCAAGCGCCGTAGCACGGTTTGAGTGGTACTCCATTTTCAACACTTTAAGTGCTTGACAAAATGATCTCGAACGACATGAAAACTATAACAACACTGAAGTGAAGTACGGTGCAACTTTTTATGGCTGCCAGTATTTTTTTTCACCAAAATATTCGGCGAAATTCGGCCCCATTCCCCCCTCAAAATAGTATGTTTTTTCCCCTCTCAAGGCCGAAATTTCCCCATCATATGGCAGCCAAAATTTGCCTGCAATGGCTACCATTTTTTTTTTTGCATATAACTGCCAAAAAATGTTTTATATTAAGCCTGTAAGACTTACTGTTAAGCAAAGTTGTTTACAAATTGTTCCCGGGTAAGTTAGGGGAGCTACTCCTGGCGTCCCAACAAGTTTAACATGCGACTCTTAAAATTCTGCTGTCAATATTTTAGATCCGTATATTAAGAAAAAGCGAGGTATTTTAAACTTGTGTTGCAAGAGTTGCTCCCCTTTTCTACTCACTGGAAAGAAAACAATGTCAAACAAAAGTAAATCTTACAGTGGTAAGTGATGTATTGAAATATGCATTGGATTCTTTTTTGTTTCTTCATTATTTTGTGAAGAAATAAAATTCCACCTCCTTTTGCATTTTTCCCCCTCCAAACGGCACCGACCCCCTTCCCCAAAAAGTGAAAAAAAACACTGGCTGCCGAACAGCACTTGACACTGCTGTTGTGATGTATAAATATCTAAGTTTGATTTTAACTTAAAAGAAAAGTGGAGCAGTTGTCTGTGGTTTTGTGTTGGTGTCAGTTCTATTTTATCAGAAATGAGAATTAATAATAAGAATTTCAAAAAGAATTTCATAGAGTTCAATATATTTCTGTGATGAAAATATTTCAGTCATAAATGAGCATTGTATGTCTTATCTTTAATAGACAAGTGACAAAAACCTGATGTGGTGCTGTTGTTGTGATGTTGATATTGATTGATATAAATTAGGGATGGCAACGAGTAACCGGGTAACCGAACTTATGATGGATATAAATGCCTTTTGATTTCAGACGACACCAAACCAGTACCTAGATCTAGGCCGGGATCCGAGTGTGATGGTATGCCTTGCAAATGTAAGACAGAAGAATGCCGTTATGGGATTCCTTGCCGTGTTTGCGATTTAAAGTACACACCTTGTGGTATAAATGAGGAACTTAATGAATCTGGAGGTAAATTATATTGACATGTGAACATCATTCACTGCTGCATTAGTCTGTTAGTAGAATAAATTAATTGCTTTACTCACATACCCATGCCGCTTTTGTGATTCTGTAAAAACGGTATTGCATGGCCAAGCATATATATTTTGATGTGGGATCATTTATGTTAAACAAACATAGCCTCAAGACAGGTTGAAAATCAACATTACACTATAAGCTTGTCAATGAAAAGGCGATTAATTTACTGTAAACAGTTCAGCTCATTCAGTAAATTCAGTATTGAACCAACACTGATTCAATATCCTCTATTTATGTATCAGCTGCAAGAAAAACACAAGCCAACAGGGCTTCCGGTTTGCAATATATTATTAATAACCTGAATAAAATCAGATAAAATGTCAAACATTTATTGTTGAAAATAGGATTATATTTTATACAATTAAATGTAATCTGGGACAAATGAGTTTTGTCATTTGAAATTATTGATTTCATTTTCAATGAGGTGATAAGTTGTTTAAGAAAAACTGATAGCGAACAGCATGGATCCTGATCAGACTGCCAGGCTGGTCTGGATCCATGCTGGTCGCAAAGGCACTATGTTGGTTATGTCGTGACGCGGCTCATTTATTCTTGCATATCAGACAGGATTATCTACTACTCTAAAAAAAAATTGATATGTAAGATGCAAGAAAAGGGGTCAAACACCGGCTGTCAGTACAGACGGCAATATCTAGCTTGAGGGTAACTGTTTAGTGGAAACTTAGCAGAGGCTCGTTACCGCCGTAAACAGTTACCCTCGAGCTAGATATTCCGGTCTGTACTGGCAGCCGGTGTAAGATTCTATTGTTAAGACACTGGTATATATTTAATAAGTACAGAGTTTTAACAAAGCTTATAATTATGGTCTAATCAAAGTTTTTCTAATCATAACAATGTTGAGTTAATCAAAACAAAGTTGAGTAAATGATTTTTATAAAAGAGTTGAGTTAATTAAAACAAACTTTCATTAATCATAACTGTTGAGTTTATCTAAACAATGTTTGAGTTAATGATTAAGTTGAGTTAATGATGAATTATAGTTGTCATTTTTCTGTTACATTGTTCTAGTGAGTTCATTTTCCCTAGTTTGATGATTTGCATTCTAAATGTTTTAAATACTTGTACTGGTTGATAGTATGGTAAGAGATAGTATTTGAACTCTTTCTAAGTACATCATTGTGTTTTCACTTCCTTAAAGACATGTTGGTTTATTATCTGCCGAAATAAGTACATCTTAGGGTTTTCACTTCCTTAAAAACATGTTGGTTTTTTATCTGCCTAAATTATCTGCATAAGAGTATTGTTTACATAATCTTTTGTTTTGTTATTCCGCCCTTAATTCTACATTTGATTTGAAATCTGTTTAACTTTTCTCTTGTTTGACTTTCGACAACACAGACTGTGTACCATGTAAACCATTTATGACCAGTCCAGCAGGATGTGAACCTTGTCAGTACAATGAAACACTGTGGAGGTAAGAACACACCATCTAAATTTAATATATCAATATAATCATTATTTTCTGGTTTGTCCCAAAAGTGTAGAACTCACTATCTAAATATTATAGAACAGAACATACCTTTTATTCACCCAGGTACAAGAAGATATCATATCGTACAACATAAGGTTATTACAAAATCTACAATAACACAAAATGATACAGTATCCATTCAAGGACTAAACAATGCTACAATATCATAAGAGAGAAAAAGATCATAAAATATAACTTTTAAAAAATTGATTGTTACTAAGGAACAGGTGGGTGGCTGAAGACCGTGGAATGCTCACTTTCAATCAAATTTAAATAAATGCTGATGTCACTCGGTTAAAGATGCTTTACACCCATTGTTAAATATTTATTATGAATCAAGCAAGATTTTCATGGGGAAAAAAAACGGGAAAAGTAGTCCCCTATTTATGAATGAAATTCCACACATTTGTAAATGAAGTTACTACTAGTATACGATTGGCTGTTATTAAAGATTACAGAGTTTGCCATTGGATAACTTACTGGAGCAAAACTAAAAAAAAAAATAATAATAATAATTGTATACTGTTACTCCATATCACATTTAATATAAACAAGCTTAGTGCTAAATGATGAAGTTTGTTACATGGAAATATTCACAATTTTCACAAGTTCGTATTCATCTCGTAAATATTAGCCAGCAAAAAATTTGACCAATTCCTAAGGTGTCAAATACAAGGACCAGCAAACTTGGAAGTATTGTTATCTTACAATTTTGAAATCATTATGCAAACCGTCGGTTTAGAATTCAGTTTTCACTTATATTTTTAGCTCGACTTTTCTATGAAAAGGGGAGCTATCCTACTCGCCCCGGCGTCGGCGTCGGCGTCGGCGTCACACCTTGGTTAAGTTTTTCGTACCACCCCACTTTATTTCAGAAGTATTACAAGTATGGCTTTGAAACTTACCATACTTGTTCACCATCATAACCTCCATCTACAGACAAGAGTACATAACTCTGTCAAGGTTTTTGACAGAATTATGGCCTTTTTTGACTTAGAAAGTGTATTGAGCTTGGTTAAGTTTTTTGTACCACCTCACTTTATTTCAAAACCATTGGAGGTATTGCTTTGAAACTGACCATACTTGTTTACCATCACGACCTTCATCAACAGACAAGAGGACATAACTCTGTCAAGGTTTTTGACAGAATTATGCCCCTTTTTGACTTAGAAAATACATTGAATATGGGTAAAATCCACTTATTGCCTTAACCCTTTGAGATATTGCTTTGAAACTTTTAATGCTATTTCACATCATTACCCCATCTGTACGCAAGAGAAGGTAACTCTGTCAAGGATTTGTTTTAAAAAATTAAGGCCTTTTATTCGACTTAGAATCTTGGTTAAGTTTTTAGTACCAGTCCACTTTTTGACTGAACTGTTTGAGATATTAATTTGAAAGTTGGAATACTTGTTTACAATCATGATTCCCAAACATGTCCAGGAGAAGGTAATTCTGTCAAAGATTTTATTTGAATTATGGCCCTTAACTGTCAATGTTTTGTATTATAGGCAAGCACTAAAAAAACTTAAAAAATCTAAAAAAATTCATTCCTATCCACTTGTTCACTTTACCATAAATTATGTCATATAAACATTGCTGTAATATTCAAGGGTATCAAACAACTAGTTTTTTTTTCTTTCTTACCAGCCCTCTTTTGACTTAAACATTTCAAACTTTGCTGCAGTGTTCAAGGGTATCACACAATTCAGTAAAATAATTCTTCACTAAATATCTTAATGCTCATGGCCATTGTTCACTTTAAAAATACAGAGATTCTTGTATTGCCTTTTACTGCAAAAACTTTTTTTATTGGCAAGCAATAAAAAAGTCGAGCGCGCTGTCTTACGGACAGCTCTTGTTTGAATTGGCAGTCATTATCGTTCAACCAGTATCAATATGTTTTAGTGAAAATTGTAAATTTAATAGAAAGTTAAATAAGAAAGATTCAGGGTTTGCAGATAAGGCCCATGACACTGTAATTTTGCTAGATTTTTGATATGTGAAAATACCCTACTGTTACAGTGGTCAAAGTTGTCTTTTTCTTTAGTTTTAATACATGTTGGCAGTAAATAGTTTGTTAGTTCAGGAGTTTTAAGCCACATGGATGTCCCATATCTTTTTTCCTACACCTGTACAAGTGAGCTGAAGTACAAAATTTCAGATGACATTTGTTTTGCAGGATATGAAGTTAATGTTTCTTAATTTGTCAAGATAAATTCAAAAATTGACTGTAAATTTGTTCATCTAATTTATTTCAGGAAGCATCAGGAAACTTTGGAGAATACAAATCAAGGATTGGTAACTGGTGGAGATAGTTCCTCATATAAAGGTAACCATTTCATTTGTTTGGCTGATATGGTTAGTTGGGAAACTTTTTAAAAGCATAAATTTTGTAACAGTGATTAATTTTCTTGTGGAGGATAGACTGCCCTTTGTTTATTTATTCAGAAATAAGCAGAGATTCAGAATGATACGAGTAAGGCATTGTTGTCCTATTCCATAAATTTTATTACAGCTAGAGCTGTCTTCGATAGAGACGATATCAATGTATCGTTGATATTTTTCTGTCAATCAATAATCAATACTCATTTGAAAAAATCAATGATTTTGATTAATCATTTTATTGTCTATGAATTATGAGACTCATTCAAAATATATACAAAAAGCTGGTGGCCATGTCTTACATACATAATGGACATACTTCATAGCAGTGATGACAAAAATTTGTTAGGAAAAATATCTTGGATATAGGAAATTTATAAACAGGACACAACATATTTGTATTAAGGGAACATTATATTTTACTAAAATCATTTAAACAGGTACGAAAGTGAATCATAAACAAGAAATTAGGAGTATATATCGATATATTGATGTATCGCTGATATTTGTCATCTGATATCGATGTATAGTCTAAACCTACATCAAATGGTACCTTTATCTTGAAAAAATATTTTCAGTCCCATCATGTCAAAAAACCTCTGTGGAGTCTTTTTAAATTTAAACTCAAAAGAGGCCAATATCTCAAGCAAGAGATTGATTAACATGTTGGGCTAGTAATCTAAGGATTGCTGGCTGGGTTGCTTCAAATCCCAGTGAGAGGCAAGCCTATGTTTCCTTGACCAAGAAATTATACACTCAATGCTTAGTGCTGGCTGGTTCCTGATACAGATTTGAGAGTATTTTGATAAGCCTATAGCTTCCAACACAATCAAACTGAAACAAAAAATTCATATAAACATTTTAAACTTTAAACTCCAGCAAGATACATGTTTTTCAAGCAGTGCAGAAGTTTGATTCTGTTAACTTTAAGTGACCTGTCATGAACCCGAGTTCAGTCATTTGCCTGTATAGTTATGACACAACATATCCCTATACAATAGCTTCATTCAATAACTTGAAATAAGACCTTGTTACTTTAGTGATTTTGAAGTTTTTTTGTTTTTGTTTGTTTTTTCTTTGTTTTTTAGATCATCTGTTTGGAAGAAAAAGTTGAGCTATTATGATCCCTGTTTTTTTCTTAATTTATGTAACTTTGTCATGGCTTTGCTAATTTTATACCAGCTTTGGATATAGCTGTTTTTTGTGATTTACAAATATTATACAAAAATATAATATTTTATGCTTGTATAAAAAGGGGCATATTTTCATGTTTTAGTTACTAACAAAGTAGTGAACAAACCATCTGTGACAATGGAGAAGGATGGGGCTAAAGAAGGTGAAGGTGGATACATTATAGCTACTGATGCATCGTCTAAAAATGGAACTGATGCTGCAGAACAAGGACAGGGCAAAGACAAGGATGATAAGTCTTTCATCATAATTGTGTAAGTTAACCCATTTCTGCATGGGCATTTTGTGAAAAAAGGCTGTTTTCATTGAAAAGTCTCCCGAAACAAGTTCAAATTGCTATAAAACTATGAAAAATGTTTCAATACTAATCGAACTTGGCACAAATGTTGACTGGACCATTGACTTTGTGTCTTAAATTTCCTGTTACCATAGCAATGAGGGGACATCTCAAAATTGCCAAAAATCACTATTTTGCGTTGATTTTTTCCATCAAAATTGATTTCAAAATGCTGCCACTTCTCAGTGGATTGAGATAGAGTCAAAGACTTTTCAGCGTTGCTTACACGTTACCTTATGATCGATCTGGGGTGATTTTTAGCCTCTCACAAGTCCAAAATTTTCTTGGCAATGAGGGTGACTGCCGCTCCCTTCAAACCCCCCAAACAAAAGGGGGCACATCCACCTTCTGGCAACCCCCTGATGTATCTTCTGGATAGGGGACGGCGCCAAAAAAGTGATAACTTTTTTAAACAACATTTCTCAAACAAACAACAAGTTTTGATGGCCTAAATAAGGCAGTTTTTCACCATTTGAGACAACAGAAAAAGGAGGGGTGAAAAAGGCGTATATATCATGTAGTGGGTTAAGCAAGTGAAAAACGTTTTTCATACTTGAATTTATACAGAATTTATTTTAGTTAGATTGTGTAGGAAGTTATAAGCTTATACATACACATTCAAATTTGTATCTGGAACCAACGGGTACTGAGCAATGAGTGTAAAGTTTCTTGCTCAAGGAAACAATGACTTAAGCCTGACGGGGTTTATGGTTAGCAATCATTAGATTACTAGCTTAACATGTTAACCACTTTGTTATACTGCCACTTTTTCATACTTGGGTTGATTCACATGGTGTGAGTCTGTGGAGCATTGGAAACACGATAGACACCAACTGGTAATCCATGAGTCACAGATTTAATCATGCTTTTTAGCCCCAACCCCCACCCCCCAATAGTTTTTGTTTTTTGGATCGGAGGTCCATTGTATTGTTATTAACATCAATTGGTACATTAGAAAAACTGTTAATTTCTTTTTTCTCAATTTAACTGCTATTATGCTATAAATACATGTATGGTTTCTCAAATATTTTTATGCCCCCACAGAGTGGGAGCATATAGCGTTTCACTTGTCCGTCCGAGTGTCCGTCCGTCCCAAAATCTTGTGAACGCAACTCCTCTTAAACCGGATGGCAGATTTTGCTTAAACTTCCAGGGATGAACAACCTTAATGTGTAGATGGTAGTAAAGGAAGGAATTTTTGCTGCGACCAAATTTAACAGAATTATGGCCCTTTGTTGTTTTTTAGTTTTCAACTTGTGGCACATGAAGTCCAAAAAATATTTGACCTAGAGTCATAAGATTGACAGAACAGTGGCGTGTGGGGGCATCCATGTCCTATGGACACATTTCTAGTTTTTCCTTTATACTGCAAGATGATAACACTTAGTCTTAGATGTATAAATAAATTTGTGACATTTTAGGGTAGTTGTTATTGCCGGCTTGCTATTTTGTGGGTTAAGCGTTGCATTCGCACTGTATGTAAGGAGTGTTGATGATAATTCAAGGCTGGCAAATTTAAAAAATAAATTTTGCCGGAGAGGAAGGAACCGCTATCAAACTGGCCAGCAAGATCCAGGTATGTGGAGAAGTTTTCTTTTCTTATTGCAACAATAAGTTAACTGTTAAAGTAATAAAATAGTTTGAGATGACGACCTGTAGCAAGTGAAATGTAGCTTCTGAGGAATATTTATAAAATAATTTGAGCATATTATAAGGACATTATGACTCAATGTATATAATGATGATTTTAAATTGTAATTATTTTTTTTACATTTTCGGAAAAAGGTTATGCTTAATTAAAAAGATGGTATTTAAGGAAAATAACTGTAATTGTATAGTATTTCAAAGTCTAATAAATACAATCTTGTTTTTTATATGCCCGAAAGAATTTCGGACATATTATGTTATACCCCCTGGCGTCCGTCCGTCCGTCTGTCTGTCCGTCCGTCCATTAGCAATTTTGTTTCCGGAGCATAACTTAAGTTCCATTTGGCCCACAATATTCAAACTTCATAGGATGATTGTCCATATTGGGTAGAAGACTTTGGGGTCATAAGGTCAAAGGTCAAGGTCACCATGACCTTAAAACTGAAAACAGTTTCCGGAGCATAACTTAAGTTCCATTTGGCCTACAGTGTTCAAACTTCATAGGATGATTGTCCATATTGGGTAGAAGACCCCTATTGATTTTGGGGTCACAAGGTCAAAGGTCAAGGTCACTATTACCTTAAAACTGAAAACAGTTTCCGGAGCATAACTTAAGTTCCATTTGGCCCACAGTGTTCAAACTTCATAGGATGATTGTCCATATTGGGTAGAAGACCCCTATTGATTTTGGGGTCACAAGGTCAAAGGTCAAGGTCACTATTACCTTAAAAGTTAAAAACTGAAAACAGTTTCCGGGGCATAACTTAAGTTCCATTTGGCCCACAATATTCAAACTTCATAGGATGATTGTCCATATTGGGTAGACGACCCCTATTGATTTTGGAGTCACAAGGTCAAAGGTCAAGGTCACTATTACCTTAAAACTGAAAACAGTTTCCGGAGCATAACTTAAGTTCCATTTGGCCCACAGTGATCAAACTTCATAGGATGATTGTCCATATTGGGTAGAAGACCCCTATTGATTTTGGGGTCACAAGGTCAAAGGTCAAGGTCACTATTACTTAGAAATTGAAAACAGTTTCTTTGAGGATAACTTAAGTTCCATTTAGCCCACAATATTCAAACTTCATAGGATGATTGTCCATATTGGGTAGAAGACCCCTATTGATTTTGGGGTCACAAGGTCAAGGTCACTATTACCTTAAAACTGAAAACAGTTTTCGGAATATAACTTAAGTATCATTTGGCCTACTGTGTTTAAACTTCATAGTATGATTGTCCATATTGGGTAGAAGACCCCTAATGATTTTGGGGTCACAAGGTCAAAGGTCAAGGTCACTTTTACCTTAGAATTGAAAATAGTTTCTGGGGCATAACTTAAAGTTCCATTTGGACCACAATATTGAAACTTCAAAAGAGGATTGTTATTTGAAGGAGGTAATACTTTTTTTTACTCCCATGTCTTACAAATGCTTCATCTTTACTAACGGTGCTCTTGTTTAAAGCTGCATGCCTCCAGATGAGCCAAAATATTTCAAGAAAATTAAACTTGATAAAACTGTACTAAGATTTTTTAGAAAATAAAGATTTTAGATTTTTCATGTAATAATTTACATCATGTACGATTAAGGACTGCTTTTACAGTATTTATCAACCAATTTTCTACTGTGTTACTAACGCAGTAAATCCTTTTTTTTTGCATATCTTGACTACTTTTTGGTAATTTACGTGGAATACACGTGCTATTTGCACTGTGTAAATTATTTTCTTTGTTCACTTCACAACATTTTACTTTTAATTACAATTTTTTTTTTTAAATCATAAAAATAGGTATGAATCTGGAGGCGTGTTGCTTTAAATGGACTTGTATTTTCTTTTCGGAATTGTCCACTGTAATTTTAGGGTATATTAGATGAGATTTTTTAAATTAGCAAGTCAATAATATTGAAACTGGTTCAGTCTCCACCATGTACAAGCTGTTTTTGTTTATTTATACTTATCACTTTATATTCTGGTTTTATAAAATGATCATGTTGTGCTTTGACAATGGAACTTTTCTGTAAAATGTTGCTTTCAACATACTGAAAGTAGGCAAGAAAACACTTGTTGTTCCAACTTTTAAACTAGTGACAAAGGGCCATTAATTTTGTTGAAAGTTTACCATTTTTTACCAAGAATACAAAAGTACCTGACATACAATTATGTGTTTTTCTCTAAGAGAGTTTTTTTTCAAATATTTATTTTATTTGTAAATCTTGTAGAGAGACCAAATGGTGATGTTCGACATGAAGAGGAGACCGAATTTAAACAGCCTACTGCAGCTGTTCAACGTATGTATTAAACACACCAAATTTCTCTTTGTCATTCCCCACAAACATGTTTAGTATTATCTGTCGGTCTACTTCAAGGTCACTGTTACTAGAAATAGAAAAAATAATTTCTGGAAGATATGAAATTAATTGTAATAATCCTTGGTACTCTCAGATGAAACATCAATAAATAAAGGTCAAGTTTAAATTTTGCTTCAAAAACCTTAGTTTGCTGATTGTGATATGGATAGCTCTTTACTTGAATTGAACACATTCAATTTACCACACCTTGCAATATTCAAGGGTTCCTTAACTGGAAATGGTTTACAGTTGCTGACGTAATATAATATTAGACATTTATAGTTGCAGGTTAACTTAGGTAAGGTTGAAACCAGCTTGATTTTGATTCTTTCATGTGACACAGCTATTTGTATAGTTTACTGAAATGTTTTGGGGCGTCTTTGACCGAGTGTTTAAGGATGTTGACTTAGTCTACTTGCCCATCACAGCTGTGGGTTCAAATCCTGATTGGGACTTTGGATTCTTTCATGTAAAGAAGCTATCCAGCTAGCTTTGGAAGCATCTGTGATTCTACTCAGGTACCAGGTTGTGCATGAAATAATGCACTGAAGGTCTTGAGGCACTGAGGTCTTCCTCCAACATCAAAGCTAGAACGTCGCCATATGACCTATACTATGTCAGTGACTCAATGTGACATAAAACCCAATCGAAGAAACAAACAAGTTTATTTTCCCTGGAATAATAGATTAACGTCCGAGTACTAAATTTAAAGAGCAAGGTTGGAATGGGCCCATATGATTGTAACAATAATTTGTGATTTAAAATGGGCTTAGTTTTATAGGGAGAGCATTGAATTAGTAATCCAGGAGTTGATGGTATGATACTTAAGTGAGGCGAGATTTCTCTATGTCATTGAGTGTTAAGGTCATTAATTTGTCTCTTACAACAGATTCAGAAATCGTGTGGGATTGTTAATCAGTCATAGTAAGCCTGGATTGAGGAACAAATCATGACCCAAAAAATGTGATAAGATTGGTGTAATATAAAGAGAAACCAAAAGGTGAAGAAAATGAATAATAATTCAGCAAATTTCTGTGTTTTGTGAAAATCAAATAAGCTTTAAAATGATCTATTGTATTTTATGTTATGACTAATTTTCATAATTAATATTTTATAGCTATAGTGAGGGGAAGAGATACTGCAGAGGTCACTGAAAATGGGGCTTGTGGTGGACAGGACAATGCCGGCGGGGCTGACATGGCTCTATTAAAAGATCAGAACGAAGAAACGCGGGAAAAGGGGAATTAAATTATAACATCAATATGGGGAATTTTCATAGTGATAAATATTACAGACAAAACTCTTTGGAACTTTTAAGCCAATAAAGGCCTCAAATGCTATTTATGATGTTTAATATTTTGTGACTTGCTACAGTTTTCAAAATGGTACACATTTGTCATACTGCTGAGTCTTTACATTGTGGCAGTTAGTGAGATATAGTGGTTTAAAGCAGCATGCCTCCAGATTCATGCCAATTTTCATGAAAATTTTAAAAGTGTTTTTAAAAGTGAAATATTGTGAAGTGATCCAAGAAAATAATTTACACATTTTTCATACAGCTCTTGCATTCCACACAAATTACCAAAAAGAGGTCAAAATAAGCAAAATTAGCCCATTATTGTGTTATTAACGCAGTAGAAATATGGTGATAAATACCGCAAAATCGGTCCTAAATTACATATAACATGTAAATCATTACTTGAACCTTGAAACATTTTACTTTTCTTAAAATTTTAGCACATTTTTCTTAAATTTAATTTTCTTGAAATATTTTGGCTCATCTGGAGGCATGCAGCTTTAATATTCATTATTTTATTGACATTTTGCTACATGTACCTTTAACAAAGAGATATGGTGGTTTAATATTTTTTTTATTTTATTGACATTTTTACTACTGTACTTTTAACACAATCATTTTACATACAAGGCTGTCACCTTAAGGTGATAAACATCTCGTATGTTCTTAATCCATTTTTACAACATTTTTAAAAACATGTCTGCCCATTCTATGCCTTTAACTAACATAGTGAAAAATTTTTTAATTTTTGTGAGCTTTTTTGTATAAATAATATGAAACAGATGTGTTTGTGAAGAAGAATATATTTGTATTTCGGCATTTTTACTGTTATATTGGAAACACAATACATGCTTTCACTTGGTCATTTTGTTATTTTAATCAGGTATATATGTATCTTTTAATAACAGATTGGGCTTTTCATGCTATCTGTTTATTTATAGAATAAAAGAAAGTGCTTCGAATTGAAAGTTACCTAATTGTGCTCTGTTTGACTTTATCTCTAATTTCTATCAGAAATTGATTGTTGTTGTTGTTTTATAATGACAACGTATTACATTCCACATCTAAAAAAATTGTCATGTCATCAAACTGAAAATAACCATGATCTTTTGTTTCTGACAGTTTAAATGTAATGATTGAGTAGCGTATTTTTTTTTTAAATGTGAAATTCAGATTTTAGGTGATTAGATAGGTCTATATGCACAGTATTTTTACTGCCACTCATGGTTTTTATTTATTAATCTAGGTGCTTTTCTTACATTTGTGCTGTTATAAAGTAATTTTTATCTGCCAGATTTTAACATTTGCATTATCTCTAGCCATGAGTAAGCAATATTTAACCAATTTATCATTTTCTTTTGTTGCTTATAATGATTCAAGAAGAGTCTATGTGATATGATTTAATAAATTGATCATGGTGTTGCAGGTGATTAATAATTTATGCACTTACGATATTTGACAGTAGCATGTTATATTTAAAGATGAAAAAATACTCATTATTGATATAAATTATTACAGATTTACAAAGTTATTTGATTAGGAAATTATAAGTTGGATAACTTGTCTTTGATGTTTCTTGTTAATATTGCTGGGGGGGGGGGGGATGAAATTTAATTTAATTAATTGAAGCGGTGGCCTAGTGGTTAAGGTGTCTGCCTCTCAACCCAGAGATCATGGGTTCCAGCCCTACTTGGGTCACAACCATTTTTGTTCATACCACACCAGTAATGGTTGGTTCCAGGATGTGAACTCTAAAGTGATGCATATAAGTTGCAAGACCTTGTTTCGCAATCAAGCAAAAATAGAAATGTTTAAACCAAAACAAAATTTAATTGCCAAATGATGATTTTCCCACTTCCAAAGTTTTCTGGCTTTATAATATTGTGCTGGTGACGATTGATTCCACCCATACAGGCAATGACTACCATAATGAATTGGCATGTCTGTGACATCTGGTCATCTGCACTGTTCACTTTTCTATCAGTGCATAATTTATAATTGTTTGAAAAACAATAATGGAAGCCTTCAATAGATTCAATAGTTTTTTTTTTGTTTTTGTTGTTCAATTGTAAACAGTCTATGCAGATATTTGTTTTAAAAAAATGTCTTGTGTATATTTTGATTTGTATAAAAATTTACCATGTGTAAGGAATATGTACACAAGGGACTGAAGTTTAGAATTAAAAAAAGAATCACCCCTTCTAGTGGGTTTTTTCTAGATAGAAGGGCTGATTTTTAGTCCTACCGGTGTTTTTAACCGGAGGGGACTTTAGGTTTAAACCCTCCGTCTGTCTGTCGTCTGTCTGTCTGTCCGTCTGTCTGTCAGTCGTCAGTCCGTCCGCGTCCACAAAAACTGGATCCGTGATAACGCAAAAAGTCTGAAATATTTTTATGAAAACTGATATATGATAGATGGCAGTATGGATTTAATGCAACGTCTTTTTTATCGCACGCAGCATTGCGATGGGCGGTGGCATATAGCGATTCCACCTGTGTGTGTGTTTGTTTGTGTGTGTGTGTGTGTGTGTTGTGTGTGTGTTATATAGATTATATAGTGAAACTTAAAAAATCTTCTTGTGAAAAAACCAGTAGTCCAATTTCAACCAAACTTGGCAGGATTGATTCCTTGGGTGAAGAAGTTGGTTCCAAAGAATTTCATTCATGCAGAAATCTGGTTTGGCAACGGCAGAAGGAATTATAAGAACAATTTAAAAAATCTTCTTGGACCCAAAAGGCCTAGACGCTTAGATATTTTTGCATAAGGCATTGTCTGGTAGCGTCTACCAAGATTTGTTCAAATTATAGCCCTGGGGTCAAAATCGGCCCACTCCCGGGGTCATTGACTTTCACTATATTGTACATATAGTAAAAACTTAAAAAATACTTATTGTAAAGACCCAAATAAGCCTAAGAGCTTGAGATATTTTGCATAAGGCATTGTCTGGTAGACCTTCTCCAACATTGTTCAAGATTATAGCCTGGGGTCAAAATAAGGCCGCCGGCCCGGGTCATTGTTTATATAGATTATATAGTGAACGTAAAAAATCTTCTTGTGAAAAAACCTAATAGTCCAATTTCAACCGAAACTTGGCAGGATTGATCCTTGGGTGAAGGGCTTCCAAAGTTGTTCAAAAGAATTTTTCAATTCCATGAAGAAATCTGGTTGCCATGGCAACCAAAAGGAATTATAAGAATAAATTTAAAAAATCTTCTTGTAAAGACCCAAAAGGCCTAGAGCTTAGATATTTTGTTATAAGGCATTGTCTGGTAGACCTCTACCAAGATTTGTTCAAATTATAGCCCTGGGGTCAAAATCGGCCCCTGCCCCGGGGGTCATTGATTTTCACTATATGTAACATATTTTAGTAAAAACTTAAAAAATACCTTATTGTAAAGACCCAAATAGCCTAGAAGGCTTAGATATTTTGCATAAGGCATGTGCCTGGTAGACCTCTACCAAGATTGTTCAAATTATAGCCCTAGGGTAAAAATCGGCCCCGCCCGGGGGTCATTTGGATTTTCACTATAATGTACATATAGTAAAACTTTAAATACTACTTGTAAAGACACCCCCCCCCCCTCCCGCCCCCCCCCCGCCCCCCTCTCCACCCCCCCCCCCCCCCCTCCCCGCCCCCTCTCCCCCTCCCCCGCCCCCCTCCCCGCCCCCCCCCCCCCACCCCCCCGCCACCCCCCCCTCTCAATCACCCCCCGCCGCCGCCACCGCCCCCCCCCTTACTCCCCCCCCTCCCCCCCGCCCCCCCTCCCCCCCCCCCCCCCCCCCTCCCCCCCCCCCCCCCCCCACCCCCCCACCCCCCCACCCTCCCCCTGCCCCCGCCCCCCCGCCCCCCCCCCCCCCACACCCCCCCCCAAAGGCCTAGAGCATAAGGCAATGTGTGTTGTGACCTCTACCGCAGATTGTTCAAATTATAGCGCTGGGTCAAATCTGCCCTGCCCGGGGGTCATTGGTTTTCGGTTATATGTATAATAGTGAAAAACTTTAAAAAAATTTCTTCTAGCAATTGAACAAATGCTAGAGGTTAGATATTTTTGGCATGAAACATTGTGTAGTGAACCTCTAGCAAGATTGTTCAAATTATAGCCCTGGGGTCAAAATTGCCCCCGCCCGCGGGGGGCTCATTGATTTTCAAATATATACATATAAGTAAAAAATAAAAAATCTTATTGTCTGTAGGTACAAGGTACAAGGCTTCAAAAACTTAAAATACCTTCTTGTAAATGCCCAAAAGGCCTAGAGCTTAGGTATTAATGCGGTGGCATAGCATTTTTCTCAAATGCAATCTTGTTTTTTCTTCCTATGTTGAAAATTCTGGTTGCTATGGCAACAAATAGTCTGAAAATATGGCAAATTTAACACATAAACTGGAACCAGTGATAACTCAAAAAGTACTGAAAATATTTTTTATGAAACTTGAAATATGGGTAGATGGCAGTCTGGAGGTTATGCACATCTTTTTCTTTTTTTCTTATGTTGAAAATTCTGGTTGCTATGGCAACAAATAGCCTGAATTTCAAGATTTCTTGATTTAAATTTTTCAGATTTTTTTCACTATATGTTCTTTATTTCTTAAGGTGTTTACTTCAAACTTTAAATATAAGTTTCTGGTCATCAACCACATCATATGTGACAAGGTTTATAACTCTAGCACAAAAAATATCAGTATTACCTCCCTTGAACTTAGATTTTTTAGGGGAAAAAATGTTGTCTTTTTTAAATAACTTCTTTATTTCCTAATGTATCTACTTCAAACTTCATATATATGTTTCTTATTATCACTCGACATTTTTGAGAAGTTTAAATACTCTAGCAAGACTATTCCAGAATTATGTCCCCCTTGAACTTAGATTTTTTTCGAGATACTGGTATTTTCACTCCAACTTCTTCATTCCTTATAGGATTTACTTTAAAAATCACACATCGTAATAATATGACAAGGTTGTATAAACATAATTTCCTTACTAAGCATGGAAACTTAACACATTACTGTGATATAGACAAACTTATTTTATTATGTTTTGTGGTCGATATTTTCAAATACAGACTTCATCCTCAAATTCATTATAAATGGCAATACACAGGAGTGTATGACAATTAAAGAACTTTTTGAGGGACCGGTAGGGGACTACTGTATTGCCCGCAATACTATCAAATGCTTGTTTTTCTTGAAACATTTTTTTATTCCTTTTAAAACTTCAATTTCCTTTATGTGTTAATTGTCATCTGCCACAGATCTATTTAATTGAAGGCTAATTTGATATAGAGCTGTACTAATTATTATGATAATACTGATTTTCCTCACATTCTTCTTACATTATACTTTAATATTGTTATAATATTTTCCCCTGTTCAATTTTTTATGTTCCATTCCATGATATTTAGAAAAACCATCACAATAACCAGGCATTACATGTTTATATAATTATTGTTTTCCTTTCTTTTTTTCTGTGTGCAAAAAGTAGATTTTTTTATAGCATTTTTTAGTGGTACATGTATATAGTTTTCATTAATAAATAGATGATTATAGCCATCTCTTTTGGTGAAAATTTAGTAAAATAGGTAGAAAAACACAAAAGATTTCATTAACTCGCCCTTGGCATTGTAGTTATTGTTTGTTACTGCAAGTTCTAAAGGTTGAACAGTAGACACAGTTAAATGTAAGATTTTGTAGTATTAATATTACATTTGTGTATGTATTAGGCAAATAATGTAATTTGTTTAGGGTAAATTTTATTAGCACTTAGTAAATTGTTATCATTTGTGAATGAATAATTTTCTTTGCTTTTTGTTTAATGTTCAGATTGATGAAAATCTCTCAACCAGTTAAGAGCTTGTTACTATAAAGCTTGTTACTTGCTTAATTGTTACTATAAAGCTTGTAACTTGCTTAATTGTTACTATAAAGCTTGTTACTTGCTTAATTGTTACTATAAAGCTTGTTACTTGCTTAAC